ATGACATCAGGTTAGGCAGGTTAAGATTTTTTAGGACACAAAAAGCATAAACCATAAAAGAAAAACTTAAATGGTACTTCATCAAAATTCAAAACCTTTGCTCATCAAAAGACAGTATTAAGAAACTGAAAATGCAAGTCTCAGGCTGTTGCATGACCTTGAGCAGTTCACTGTACCTCTCTGAGCATCTTTTCTTTTAATTTACAAAAAGTTATTTTTTGTGAGATAAAGTACCTCTCTGAGCATCTTTTCTTTTAATTTACAGAAAGTTATTTTTTGTGAGATAAAAGTAATATATATTGTAAATTTCCATGTAAACATAAGACATTATTATTGTAGTTTTTAAAGCTATCAGCATTGTCTCATAGCTGTAGCATTTCTTAGTCACCTGCTCTCACTGTACATTATGTTTTTAGCTAGGAGGAAACAAGACAAAAATCCGGACACTCGTCCCTCCAGGCATGTGTGTACTCCCATGAGGCACTGTGTCTGTTTTGTAACAACCTTATGAGGAAATACTCTTCCTCTTCGTGAACCTGAAGCAGAGAAATTTTATAAACCTAACCCTAATTTGAAGTTAAACATCAGATAATTCTACTAGGCACTTTTAAAAGCTTCTAGGACCTTGGAAAAGAGAATTCTTTACTTTTTAGCCCACTAAGAAATCAGACTCCCTCTATTTATCAATACTAAAACAAGGAGTCTTAGACACAAATTAAAAAGTAGTTTCCCATCAACCCTATTTCTGGCTACAGAGAAAGTCACTCTTTAAATTTCCATGGACAAAAGATAATTTACTCAACCTATATTTTTGGGCATCGGTATGCCCAGCATTGTAGAAAGCATTGCAAAGATAATAAAGGTGAGTAAAAAGTGCTTCCTGGGCTGGCCCCATGGCTCACTCAGGAGAGTACAGTGCTGGTAGCGCTGAGGCCGCGGGTTCAGATCCTATATAGGGATGGTCGGTGCACCCACTAGCTGAAGGTGGTGCAGACATGAGCGTGGTGCAGACAGCACCGTGCGGAGGGTTGCCATCCCCTTACCAGTCAAAACAAAAAGTGCTTCCTGCCTTCAGAGAGCCACAACTTAATAACTTAAGAAGAGAAAGCATGAATCCCACCCTCCTTCCTATTTCTCTGTCACCCTCCCCCACCCCCCAAAAACCCCAGGATAAAATGTGATCGTTGAGATAAAAGAACAACAAAGTACTTTGGGAGTTCAGAGGATGGTGACAGCATTCGTAGCTGGAGAAACAGGAAATTCTTTAGGGAGGAGAAGGCTGTTAATCTGGACATTGAAGAATGAAGATTAGGTTTCAACAGATGGAATTAACAGAAAGAGCATTCTAGGCAGAACAAATGGATTGAAGAAAAGCGGGGGGGAGGTGGGTGAAGAAAGGTTTAGGTGTTATTTATGGCACATTAGGACACAATCGTAAGTTGTTAAAACAGGAATGTAATGTGATCAAAAATGTACTTAAGTTAGCAAAATCAGAGGTTTGGAGGATAAATATTAGAGTCCAGGAAACTGGATAGGAAGCTATAGCAGCAAGGATGTTTGAGGTCACAAAGACCATCAGAGATAGATGAAGAATTAGAATAATTTGATGACACATCAGTCCCAAGCCTGGGCGGGAGGAGTTTCATGAAGAAGGGGAATGATCACTAATGTGAATTATACAAGTAAGGTCAATTAAATAATACTGAACAAAGGTTTGGTGATTAATAACATTGATGATCTCACATAGGGCACTTTCAGTGGAGTGGAGTCGTTGGTAAGAAAGACATTTGCCTTTTCCATTCTCATTCTTACCCAAGTACCAGTGAGATCATGCTTTGTGACAACACAACAGATTGAATGTAGAGGCAGAGATGAGAATCCAGATGTCTTCTATTCAGCCAGACACTAATGAGATTTGCAGAAATGCAAAACATTACTGGGACTTCTGGTCAAAATGACAGAATAGAAGGCCCCCAGCATCACTCTCTCCTACAGTTAACCAATTTACAACTATTAAAAAGCAACAACAGCCGAGCCGGGGCCACTAGAGCTCAGGGGAAGAGGAGGAGAGACCTACGGAGTGCATGAAGGCGGGAGA